ATATAATTATAACTTTTCTTTGCAACATTCAACTTATCCAAAAAAGCAAGCAATAATTAAGAATAGGTGACTAACGAACATTATATTTGGCTACGACGAATGTTAAAATTACCCATTTTAACCCGTTGTTGAATGAATCTGTGCAATTTATATTGAATACCCCTCCTCTCCCCAAATTTTAAGCGGCATGTTCCAATGGTTGTATAGTAAAAACTGCAAACATATTAAATATTTTACATGCTCACTTTTTTTTGTTTTTTTGTTGTCATCATTTATTTGATATTATCAAATCTTAACGATTAACACCTCAAAATTTATCACTTTTCCAATTCCTTCAACAAGGGATCTTGAATCTTTAACTTTTTTAAGATATTAAAACTTTACTCCTTCAAGAATTTATTTACCTTGGAGGAGACACAAATGCCTCATTTATCTATCTTTATAGCAGGATTGGATATTTAAACCCGACCAATGCTTTATCTACACTTTCAATGAACTGTTTTATTATACCAGCAAATAACATCACAACCAACTCTCCACTATCGTTTTGCCCATATTTTTAGCATTTCTACAGGGATTAAGAACAATAATTGAGGTAGTATAGAAGATTTAACTATTGCTTTAAATTTAACAATTATTATCATTGCTGAATTTTTACGGAACAATCCTGTTATAAAGATAGATAAATAGCGGAATGGATATATGAACATTATCTGGATCGCTGCTGGCAAAAACAACAAAAATCAAAAGCAACGGCAATTCCCTTAGATAATGATCAAGTCCTGTTCAACAAATAGTTGAAGAAATCAAATCAAAGAGATCGACTTTACAAAAAAAATATCCCAAAATAAAAATCATGGAAGGAAGACCAAGAAAATATTGCTTCACAGAATCAACCGGTGGTACAGAAATAGATAAATCAGGATCATACTATTAATTTTATCATTTTTTTTTTAGATATCACAATTATAAATATCGTTTTATTTCTTCAAGTTGCCCAAGTACATTTTGAGAATTAAACAGTAAATGTTCCTTCTGTAGAACTTGTCGTTCCAAAAATGACACTACTAAAACACAAAATTCTCTAGGCATTACCACAAATTCGTCATCGATTTTTGATTTTAACCACATTGATAAACTATGGGTAGAAATATCATTAATCATACCCCAGAGAAGTTTTGATATTTCTTCTCGTGAAATAAAACGGTCTTTTATTACAGTCATTTTATACCTCCACTTCTCTTACAGAGAAATAAAGATATAACAGATTGATAATACTTATTTTCTCGATTAATTTGATATCATTTAATATGAAATTGATATTGGTATAATTTTTTGCCCCTAAGATTTTATCTTTACTTAAGGCGGAATTATTGCTGTTATACATATGATCCTCAATATGTAGGGTTATTGAATAAAATGAGGGTATTTATACTTTCGAAGGCTTAAATATCTTCGGTCACAAGACATAAAAACGTTTGAAGCTCCAACTTCAGGCGCTTTTTTATGCTTTGCTTATAGATTAATATATATGAGAATTTTAAAAGTGTCAATATTTTGTATTGATATTTTTAATTTATTTTTTGAGCTTCGTAATGTTTTTATATTTCTTCAAATTTATTTCACTTTAATTTAAAAGTATTAAAAACATTCCTTGAATCTTTTAACTCTTCTATTAATTCGTGTTTTATAAAAGTTTCTAAAGCTTTATAAACAACTGGTCTTGAAACTTTAGATAACTTACTCAATTTTAGAATACTTACAATTGCAACATCATCAACCGAAATTAGTAACAAAGTTTTCAATATTTTACGGTGGCTTGGAGTAAATGCTTCATAAGCATTTACAGCTTCAATTAATAATTCTTTATCTTTCATAGAAATTTACAAGAAAGTTACTTTACAATTAGTTTATTTATTATAAATCAACTTTTTTATTACAACTTCAACAAAAATCTTGATTGATCTTATTATTTCACTGGGTTAATCTTTGGTTATTTTCCACTTTAGGCCTTTTACTACCTTTTATAATTCATTATTAGCTATCCTCTCTAAATCACTTAATAGTAACTTAAAAAACATATTTCCTGTTTAACAAGCTAATCAAACTGCTTTGCATAAAAGTCGATTAACTTATTAATTTTCTGTACGTACGGCTTACTTCTACTAATTTTAATCATTTTACTTTATAACAATCATAAAACATCACCTATCAAATTCCCTAAGGCGTAGTAGCCAGATTTTCAGAAAATTCCAAATCTAAAGATGGTAATTTATTCATGTTTTCAACTCTTAATTGAAAGCACAAATTATATCAATTAACAATAATCTTCAAGGACATTATTGTTTTTCCTAAAAAAACTAAAAACTTTATGGTTTTTATTAACCATAAATGTATAATTTCTCCACTCCTCCAGGTTAACTTAAACTTTGGAGGAGACAATCTACGATTCATTTGTCGGAAGAGATTATTTAGTACTTATTATAAACCTGTAATCATCTTCGACTTTAAGCTTTAAACATAAAAAAATTATACTTAACCAAAATAGACCTTAAACTGCTCATTATTAACAAACCTCTCTATAGCTTCGAAACAATTAGTTTCTATCCAATCTTTTATAAAAAAAGTTGGACATTGATCTTAATCTCTTTCCTTTTTTCATCAACATTTGCCGTAAGCTTTGAAAACCAATTACGGTCAATCGCCTCACCCTACCCCACATTCGTAACGGTAATGATGATTTTTTTATTTTATTCTGATCAATCAATGTGGTAGCCGTCTTTGATGGCATAATTATTTGAAGTTCATGGATATAAACTGATTCTGTATCCGTAATTAGAGATTGCTCATAAATGGATCGCATTTCCTGAAGTACTTGTCCTTTTTCAGCAGCCGTTATCTCTACATGAGTTGATAAATGGAGGAAAAGCGTACCCTCTCTAATATCTGCTGCTTTATATGCCTGAAGGAGATCATAAGCTGTTTTAGGCGCAAGGCAGGCTGCTAACTTCTTCTTGAGTACTCCTTGTTGTGATGTATGATGGCTTTCTTCAATTTTACTCAAGTATTTTTCCCTTTCTTTATCATCTATTTCTTCTATGGTCTGGTTATTTGTGATCCTAAAATTATCATTATTGATTTTTACAGCATCCCTCATGGTATTCATCCCTTTCATGGTAGAAAACCTTACTCATATAGCTTAAAAAGCTTTTCTGCTTTTAAAGTATCTATCTGTTAAGCGTTTTGACATATCAAGTAATATTTCATTCATGCTATTTAGTGAAAGTTCTCTTCCAAATAATGATTGTAATTTACAACAATCGTCTTTGTTTAAGGGGTAGAAGTCTTTTAATTCTATAATTTCATTACGATTAAACTGAATAATTTTTTTTATCGGTTCTTCTTTTTCAAAAGAATTTTTATCAAAAATAGATTCGCATCCTACAGATCTATTTTTAAATAGATTATTCTTATTCTTATTATCTATTAAATGATCTCCTCTAAAACGAGGAGAGACCTCCTCTCTTTTAGGCGCAGAAAATTGAGGTTTGACGTGATTTTCATGAGTTTTAAAGTTCAGCAAATTTTTTATTATCGGTATAAGAACTTAAAAACTGAGAGCTTAAGTGAATAAATAATCTGTTGTTATAAGTCTTTATATTATAATTTAACATTGCGGAATTCTCTAGCGCAAATACCCATTTGCTCCAGTTTTACAAAAATTCTTCGCAGTTTTTCCCAATTAAACCCGAATTTTTTCTCAAAATGTTCACAAGAAGTTTGCCAGGCATCCCCAAGAAATTTATTTACATAAGTAATATTGCCGGTTTGGTTATCTTTCATCCTTTTAGGGCGATACCAGTAAACAATATCCGAAAGAACAGAAATTACGGAAAGATCAGGCTTTCCTTGATTGTTGGTAAATTTTTCATACCAATCATTAGGCGTGATATTCCCTGTTAATAGGGTGATAAATAGCTTTACATTGCTTGTTTTCAACTGTTTTTTTTAGTTTAGAATAATTTAACACAATTAACCTCATTGTAATGAGGCCAATACCTAAAAATACTTGACTTTACCGGAGAAAAAATATAACTTCATTATATATTAAGAAAAATGCTTGGTGGCGTATATCTTATTATAAATTTAAAATATATTTTATATCAGGTGTTAAGTCTAGAGTTTAGTCTTGGCACCTTTTTTATTTTACTTTATTTCATAAAAATATCTACTTTAAATAAATTTAAAATTAATTGATAATACTTAAACTTAAAATAATCAAATACTTTTTTGCAAAAATAAAAGAAATTTTATTTAATATACCATATATATCATATTTATATACCGTATATATATGGTATATCTTTAACTAAATCGAAATAATAAGCTCAATTATTTCGTGAATATTACAAATAGAGTAATACATAGATATATAGTTGATTCTATATTATAGAAGTCTTAAGGTTAGAGATAGCGTTTCTCAGTCAGATTTTTTTAAATAATCGTAGATTTGCTTAGCAATTTTAAAGCGGGTAAATCCACCTCTACCTGGCTTGTTCTCAAAGGTTTCAACCAACTTTTTTATCTTTAACATTTGTAACATTCTATATATAGTATTTAAAGGTCATTTTAAAGTTTTATGCACTTCTTCACTATATATACATTCTGTAATTATATAATTTTCCAAAGTTTCTTCTTTTTTTTCCAATAAATAAATTAGCAGCGTTTTTTGAACACCAAATAATGTTCTTTGTATTTTTTTTAATTCTTCTTCTGAAAAATTAGAAACGGTAATTATTATATGATTTGTTGTACTAAATGCTTGTTTTGAATCATTTTTCTTAACAGTATCAAGTTGTTGTTTATGGTTTGCAAGACTTGTATCGTTTATTACGTTTTCGTGGGCTGTTGTAGAAATATCATCCCAAGGGCGGTACAACTTTTTTTCGAATTTATTGTTTTTTTTTTTGTTGTTGTTTAAATCAGCGATTAGAGGCATATTATCCTTCAAATTTATCATCAATTTTAAGATTATTTAAACTTAACATTTCTCTAGTAAATAAATCTATATCTTCTTTAGTTGCTGAATTTCTAAGTCCTGTAAAAATAATGGTATTTGTATAGATTGAATTAGGAAATTCTTGACATGACCTTATAAAGGTATTACATACTAACTCTTTAAAAAGCTCGTGGTTTAAGATAGTAGTAAGCATTTCAGTAGTGCGAATTTATTTAGGACTATTTTAAAGTTTAAGGGTTTTTTAAAGCGTTGACTTAATATATTTATTTCATCAAACGATATTTTTAAACCTGATAAACTAAACTGTTCAGGGGTAACTGGGGCAATTACAATATCTGAAACAAGAGTTGCAGCGGCTACAGATTGTCCTAAAGCTAGAGGACAGTCAAAAAGAACTAAGTCATATTTATTAAACACTTGATGTATCAGATCGAAGTAAACCCGTTCTAAAGGAAATTTGTTTAGCATAAAGAAATTATCTAATACTGCGTTTTCGTTTCTACTTGGCAAAATGTCTAATCCTTCTGATATATTAACGATTGATTCAGAGATGCTAGCTTTGTTATTTATAATGTCTATCATCACAGGTAGATTTTTTTAATCAATATTAAAAGCCTGTGATAGGTTTCCTTGTTGGTCTATGTCGATACATAGGACTCTTGCTCCATATAGGTTAGCTCTGATAGCGAATGAATGAGTTATTGAAGGTTAACCAGTTCTACCTTTAACAATTTGAAATGAAATAATTTTTTTTTCAAAAATAAATTGAAAAAGTTCTCTGGCAGTGTGGTAGCCAAAATAAACTCTATTTTGATTTTTAAATGATTTTAAGTTCCTAGTTTTTAATTGCTTATGTATATATTGTAAGCTGACACCAAGTAAACTAGCTGCATCAGAAGCAGTAATTTTGGCATTTAAAGTAGTATTCATATATAATAATATCAATGTAATTATTGTGTAATAATATAGTAATTATTATATCTGTACAACATAATAACTATATAAATTTCGTATTAATACACCATATATAGTATATATACTATATATAATTGAGAATTATATAATTTAGGTTATGCAATTATTAAAGGTTTTGAAGTTATATAAATCTTCAAAAAAAGAAAGTTTGCATTACTTTTGTCATTACTTTAAAATGAAATAAAAGGTATAAAATTATGTATAAATCAACTATTACTGTAAAAGGACAAACAACGGCACCATTAGATATAAGAAAAAAGCTTATTTTATCAGCAGGTGATAATATTGAGTATTATACAAATGATAACAACACTGTAACCATTTTTAACAGCAATTTAGATATCCATGATTTATGTGGAATTTTGCCTAAACCATCCAAGATTATAACACTTGAAGAAATGAAAGAAGTTATAAATAAGCGAAGGGGTGAAAATGATAGGCATTGATACTAACATTCTAGTAAGGATCATAACTCGCGATGATGAAAAACAGTCTCAAATAGCTCTTGATTATGTATCAAACAATTCTACACCTTTTGTAATTAATCATATTGTAATTTGTGAATTAGTATGGGTTTTGGAATCAGTTTATAAATACGATAAAAAGCAAGTGATAAAAGCTTTAGAGTGTATTTTAAAAGTGAAGCAGTTTTTAATCTTGGAAAAAAACTCAGTAAGGTCAGGTTTAAAACTATACGCAGAAACAACGATTGATTTTTCAGATGCTTTAATTGGTTATGTAAATAAAGAAGCAAGTTGTGAATATACTATAACCTTTGATAAGGCTGCATCAAAAACAAGTATATATAAATTACTTTAATGAAAATCCTTATGGTTGATCTCCTCTAAGATATATAACCTAGAGGAGTAGCCAAAATGATAATAAGTCTTGATAATAAGTTATCAACAAAATTGTGAATAAGATTGTAGAAATCCTTGATTAACGGAATCTCTATAAGCTCAAGAAGCATTACTCATCTTTTAGGCAATTGAAAAATCTGGCGTCTACTTCAATTTTTAACTTTCTGGTTCAAGTTTGGTAAAAATACGAGATATCCTTATCTAAAACTTTTGCTATTAAAGATAATCGTGCTGCGCTAATTCTATTTTTTAGCATTTTCGTATTTTCGCAGTTGTTGAGCTGAAACGCCAATTTTTTTGCCTAGTTCACTCTGAGATATATTATTCTCTAATCTCAAAGAATAGATTTTTTTACCAATTATTTGGTCCACGTTATTAAAATAGTTTTCTGTATGGTGCATATAATTATTTGAAAGTTTTGAAAATCTCAGGAGAGGATTTAAATTCATTAATTTTAATCTCTTCCACCACTACTCGATAATCACTACCCAGTTTTAAAAAAAGTTCAGTGTATTTAAAGTCATTGTCCTGTCAAAAACTTCCGTGCAATAAAAATCATCATTAAAATCGTATTGAGGGAATTTTCTTTTAAAAACAGTGCAAATTTTCTGCCATTCTTTCTTACTAATTTTCAGTTCATATCTTTTATATTTCAGAACGAGAACTGTACAGATATTGAGTAAAATTAAAGAATAAAGAAAGCAAGTAATAAAATCATTTAATATATGATATTCTAAAATACTGTTAACAAATAGTAATCCTCCTATAAGGCAAATCCAAAAAGGGTTAAATGGAAAATATCTTGATAAAAATATTTGCATTTTAGGATTTTGACTCATAAGTGTATTCCATAGTTAAAAACTGCAGTATTATATATTGTAAGTTGAACTCTAACAATAGGTTTTCTAACATTCGATAGATTATTATTAATGAAATCTTTAAATCTCCTAATTCCTAACCACCAATAGTATTATCGGGAAAACGTTCAGAATTTAATTATTTAAAAAATATTCTACTAACTTAGTAAGTTTTTTTTTATCGGCACTGTTTTTGGCTCTAATTATTAGAGAGCCCATCCGCCATCTAGCAATAACTTCGCCTTTGGAGTTTCTTATATCATTGTCTGTTAAATCCTGTTTGTCTGCGACAATATTTTTTACTGTTTCTTTAATATCGTAACTGGCAAGTCCAAGTTTAATCTTTTCCGCAATCTCTATTAATGCGTTAATATGATGTTCTTCTTTTTTTGAAAGGCAATATATGCTATTAGCCAATCTTGCAGAAATTCTTTCGGGATTTCCTATTGCATCTATTACAGATTCTGGGATTTTAGCAAAACAGAATAAACTTTGAAGTTTCGACCTTGATATGCCTAAAGAACTTGCAAGTTGTTCTTGGCTTATTATTTTATTTTTTAAAAGTATGGAGTAAGAAATACCTCTGCTATAATTTGAAAGGCCAGTTTTTTCATTTTCTTTAATTTGAGCAATAGCGGCCTGTCTGTCGTCATAATCTGTCAGAATAGCTTTTAAAGGTATGTTTAAAAGCTATTCAGACTACCTGCAATTATCTCATATCTAAAATTTTCATCTTCGGGCGGTCTAATTAGTACAGGATTTATCTGCCCATTTTTTAAAATATCCTCAGCGAGTTCATCTATTTTAAAAAAGTCAGCCTCAATTCTATCGGCAAATTTCCATCTTTTACACGTTGAAGGGTCAATATTTAATATTTTTATATCTGAAACTTCAGTTTTGCTTGTCATGAGCTAACCTGCTAAGATTATAAAAAAATCATTTACAAGCAGACCCAATATATAGAAATTCAAATTCTCTTGATTCTCTCCAGTTGTTTGTGAGACTAGTGCTACAGCTGAAGTGGGTGTTAGAAACATGAATGCAATTAATATAGAAGATATAAATAAAATAAGTATTTCTGTTCTGTGTTTTTTCATAGTTGTTCATTTATTTACAGATTCAATAACCATCTTACCATTTTTTTGAAGAGTTCGGCCTTGAACTTGTATATGAGTCGGTAACACCAGAGCAGGACCTGCATTATCAATTTTCTTAATAGAGTATTCAATTAAGGCAATCGAACCTTCATCTGTTTTTGTTTTTAGATCATTTTTTAATGACTGCAGTTTCCTTTTAAATGCAACTGATGCCGGTACTGTTTCTGCTTTTATATTTATTATGCGACCATCTATCTCATGTCTTTCAATAATACCGTTAACTTCACAGATAATTTTCTTAAAGTCAATATTAATAGTAACCAGACTTGAATTACCTGTATAGGCAAGTCCTTGGATTTTGCTTTTTTAATTGTTATCCTTGGTTGAGCTGATCAACCAATTGTAGTTTAAAACTAAAATAGAACTATAACAAATTTACTACTAATGAGGTTGATACAATAAAAGTAGTCATTTAGGAAAAAATTATTGAGATTAGCTGTTAGTTTAATTTGTATTATTTAATATAGGCAATAATTTCTGGTTAATCTAATTTTAGAAATTTTAGCTAACTGGGTATACAGCTCTAGCTGGCTTTTGCAGAAAATAAATTTATGGCCGCCCCTGTAACTATCAAAAGTACCTTATGCACAAATCAAAATGAGCCCGCTAAATAAATTATTATGCTGGTAGAGATGGCAATAACGTTTTAATTTTTAAATTTTAAGTAAAATCATTAATTAATATTACGGGTTAATAATTTTGTTTCTGGTTCTTTAAGAGAGCCGTCACCATTAACATATTCATAAAGAGTAGCTGTAGATATGTTAAGTCTTTTAGCTACATCTTTGGCAATAGAGGATCTATCGCTCATGGCTCCATCGCCATTTTAAGGGTAGGGAGGTCCATTTTCCTGGCCGCCCGCCACCCAAGCGTCCCCTTGCTCTTGCGGCAGCAAGTCCGGCTTTTGTCCGTTCGCTAATTAACTCTCTTTCAAATTCTGCAAGAGCAGCAAAAATACCAAATACAAGTCTACCGTGGGCGGTTGTTGTGTCTATTTGCGCTCCTTGACCGGTAAGCACCTTAAGCTCAATATTTTTTTCACTTAACTCAAGAGTGATATTGACTAGATCCTTTAAGCTCCTGCCTAATCTATCAAGTTTCCATATTACCAGAGTATTACCCGGTTGAAGAGCTTTAAGGTAATTAATTAACCCCGGTCCGTTATCATACCTTGAACCTGACTGATTATCAGGATAAATTCTATCATCGTTAACACCAGCAGCAAGTAGGGCATCTTTTTGCAGAGCCAGCACCTGACTCCCGTCAGCTTTGAATATTCGCATATATCCTATTAGCATAATTTAAATAACCATTATTAGCATATTCTAGGATTCTTTTATCAAAAGTCAGTAAGTACCCGTCTATTTTTCCTGGTAGAGGCAATAATCATTCTATCAGCAGGATCTTATTGATCGAAATCTGGTAAATTGCAGCTTTCTACCAAGATAGTTAGAGACAAGTTAATTACATTTATTCCGGGAATAGACAAAACCTTATTAAGCCATTAATGAATTGAAATTGAAATAGCGGCTTTCTTTTTATTAATCAGCATTGATACTTCCCAAATAGAAATAGCAGAAATATAAAGCTGGTTTAATTTTCTTTGATTTTCTATTATCTGAACTTGTTGCTGGGATAATTCTATTCCTTCTAAATACCAGATCAGAATATGAGTATCCATAACCACCTTTTCTATTTTCTGTAAGGTGGAAGTTGATGTATTATTCATTATTTATCTCCCACTCTGATTTAAAAGAACAATTTACAATATCACCTTTTATTTTAGTAGTACCTTTCATAAAACCGAAATAAGTTTTTTCACTTTTGACGTTATTGTCCAGAGGAAGGATTTGTGCTACCGGCATTTTTCTTTTAGTAATGGTAAAACTGCTTTTTTTATTTTTCACTTCATCTACTAATTGTAAAAAGTGTTTTTTAAAATCAGTGGCAGATATTTGTTTTTGGATATTGGTAATTTATATAGTCATAATATATTTATACATTATACCGTAATACGGTCATGTTATATATAAAAAGTATAATTATTTATTATAATAGTCATATTAAGTGATACTTATGCAAGAAAAGATAAGACAGAGGGATAAAACTTGTATAGATAATTGAAATAAGTTGTTGGATATTTGAGGTTTTAAAAACTGCTAATTTTTTGAGTGTATGAAAAACGAACGTTTAATTTATAGTTTTCTACAAGTAGTTTCATTTTATGGAAACAATCTTATTATGAATTATGTAATACTTTAAAATGGACTAGTTTTTGATTGTTTGTGAAGTTATATTAATAATAATGTTAGCTCAATTAAGTTAAACAGAAGAAAATACATGAATAAAATTGTTGATAAACTTACCAAAGCACAGCAGTATGCAATCTCAATTCGTCCAAAAGCTGGTGGTTTCCCCGTTTTTGCTGAGGTGTTACGTCAAGCGGGAGTCAAATTAAATCGATGGTTTTGCCGTCGTGTCAGTCTATTTATTTAACAGAAGACGAAGCAGTAGTTCAACAAGGGATTCCTAATATAAAAGGTACTCATGAAATCCCAAAGTTTGACCGTGAAGATTTGATCAGCGCAATTAGATCTGATCAAGAAGGTCTTTGTACTTTTCCTGAATTCCTACGTGCTTCCTGGAAAGCTGGAGTTATCGAGTATGAAGTAAATTTTATTACAAGAAAAGTTACTTATTATGGTGCAAATGGTGAAAGTTATTTGGAAGAATACCCAGCCGTTGAAATAAAAAAATAAAAGCTAGACAAATAGGGTTAATTTTTAATACTTTTTTTGCTAAAATTTCTTTTTTATAATAATAACTCTGACATGTCCAATTTACTAGAGCAATACAATCTTGATAAATATTCAGATATTGCAAAAGAAGTTAAGGAAATATTTTCTGACGTTCTTAAAAAGGAAAAAAACAGCTGCGCTCTGTTTAGCATTACTGCTCGTCCTAAAAGTCGTGAAATCTTAGAACGAAAGATAACTAAGAATAATATTGATACTCTGGATTCTATAAAAGATCTTGCGGGTTGCCGAGTAATCTTTTTCTACAATCAGGATGTGCAAAAATTTAACGATTCAAATATTATTTACGATAATTTTGATTTTGTTGCTATTTAAAACTATTTGCTTCCTGCAGGTCATTACTTAAATACGATAATACAAAAACACCAGCAAATTCTGAAAGCTAATGATTTAGCAAAAAATATTATTCATGATATCCAAAATACGTCTTGTGCTTCTGAGCTACTTAATATTTTAAATCAATTATTGAAATACTGGTTTATATAATGCCATTAAACGTTAATTTCTTTTTTTTTGAAACAGTGAAGTTACGTCAAGGTTTAATCAAGACAAGTGGTTTGGATGAAATAAATAAATATCTTGTACTTATTACGAGATACCGTAAACAGCACATACAAAGGGACAATTATGACTACCAAACTTCTGTTCTTGATTTGATGAATGTGTTGGATGGTGATACCTTAATTAAAATTATTGATTTAGTGTGTCTACTTTGTAAAGAAATTTTACAACTTGATATAAATCACAACGATTGGGTACAAGACATTAATATAAAAAACCTGGCAAAAGCACGTCTGCAGTAAAAATTGAAGTTATAAGTTTCTCTACTTTACCTGACAAGGTTAAAAATTTACGCTCTCTGACTATTGGTTTTTTGATAAAATTATATTCTTTCAAAGGGATAACTAAACAACAAAAAGAAGAATTAATAAGAGCATTATCTAATGCTGCTAAGCTAGCGATGAATACAATTTATGAAACTTCGTTAAGTAAAGCAATTATCTCTAACTTAGTAGTGATAGTAGAATTTTATACAAGAACTTTACCTCAGGAACCTTTCTTGTGTAAATTGATTTACAATCAAATTTTTGAATTTTGTTGTTTAGCTGGGCAGACAATTCAGCAGGAAGAGGTTAAAAATTCGGCCCAGGAACTTTGGGATTTAACTGATAATTTTAAGAATGAACTAACTAAAATCAAAGATTTTGAGATTTATAATACATTGCTCTCAGACAGCCCACATGATTATGTAGATGATGTTCAGTGGAGAGAGCCATTAAATTATTCATTTAGATTTGTAAAAAAGAGAAAGATATTATAACCAGAACTGCTATTGTTTCGCAGTGGAGGCTATTAAAGTTAAATTAAAAGTTATTAATTTAAAAATTCCACCACTGATATGGAACCATTAGGCCGTAAGAGTATAAAAAAGATTGATGGAACGGACAGAGTGAAGTTGATCAGCAATAACACTTGTCGCTGATAGGTTAACGATTTGAAGAGGTCAGATTTCTGACTGGCCCTTCACTAGCTGATTCAGTGACCCTTCTTCGTTGCTCTCCATCTCACAAGTCTAGTTTCATGATATTCTTGAAATATAACGGTGATCCTGCATGGTTGAGGTATCAGCAAAGAAGCCTAGTTGCCAATAAGTTAACGATTTGAGGAGGTCGGTTCTCCGACTGACCTTTCGTTGGCTGATGTGGCGACCCTCTCTTAATGTTTTTATCTTAACTTTCAAGATCCAGCCAAAACAATGAGCAGCCCAAACACATAAATATTTAACACCAGCTACACTTCCAAATAAACTAAAAGATTTTTTAAAAAAATTTCAAATGAAAAATGACTTAAAAAGTTTATAAGTTAAAAAAGAAACGCAACTTAAAAATTCTTTGTAAAAAAGCAACTTTACTATTAAAACTAACGCAAGTATAACCTAAAGTAAAATTATTTTGTTAAATTCATAAATAAAAAATTTGTTAGCAAATATGCTTCGCGCAGTTTTAACTTTTATCGCCTAAAAACTTTTACGCTGCTAACTAATTATCAACAAATTTAAAAAGCGTGTTAATTTAAATTTCAAGTATTGGTGATTTAAAAATCTAAAAAATTTAAAAAGCGTTTATAATGTTAATTTAAATTCTAAGTATTGGTTATTTAAAAACAAAGAATTATTTATTTCAATTAATAATATTCTATTTTTATAAAAAAGACTGATGGAACGGACAGAGTGAGGTTGATCAGCAATAACACTTGTCGCTGATAGGTTAACGATTTGAGGAAGTCGGATTTATGACTGGCCCTTCGCTAGTTGGTTCCGTGACCCTTCTGAGTTTCTCTCCATCTAACAAGTTTAGTTCTATGAAATATAATCCACCATCATCCTGGCGTATTACTAATACTTACTACGCGTTACAAATGTTTGCTAGCCGAAAAACTAATATCAATATAACCTAAAGAAAAATTCCTTAAAAAGCTCCATAACTAAAAAACTATTTATAGTATTTTGATAAAATAGTTAATTCGCGCATTACTAACCACTTTTACCTTAACATCTCGTGGTGCTAATTTTGATTCAAAGTGTTGTTTATTTGAATTCAAAATTAAAAAAGCATGTTTTTTCTTATCTTTATAAGATAAGATAAGGACTAATAAAACGGACAGAGTGAGGCTGATCAGCGATGACACTTGGCGTTGAAAGGTTAACGATTTGAGGAGGAGGGAAATTTGATAATAAAACTTATAAAAAAAGTGACTCCCACGTCTTTAAACGAAATATTACTTTGATTTTGGCGCCCATATTTGGTTTACTTATTAGATTTTTATATTATTTATTAGATTTTTAGACTTAAAAATACTTTATCTTTATAAACGGAAAGAATAACTACTACACAACAATTATCATAAATATATTAAACATCTAAATCCCCCTTAGAACAGCTGCTCATAATTTTACCCACTAAGACATTGAATTACAGAGACAGCCAATTTCAATACTTGTCTCTAAAATAAAACCGATGACAATTACAAAAAATAATTCCCGCGGAAAACGATAGAAAAACTCACCTTGAGAATTACCTAACTCTTTTCAGGGAGACAAAAGAAGCTCTGACATACTGTTCTCTAAATAGAGCAATAGACCATTGAAAACTTACTACGATAGAACAATGGAATTTCTAAAAACAGAAATTTTACATTTTTATGTGCACTCACTTCGTTCCTATCAGATATCTGCTAACAAGAGAAGAAAAAACAACTTTGGCGTTCAGAAATATATTTTTTCGTGATTATTTAATAAAAAAATCCACATTAACGACAACAACGAATTAACGGCAACAACAACAACGATGGCATTGAATAATTACATAAATATACACCCTACTACAACACCCAGCAATACGGTAAGAAAAACATTCCCTTTATCACATTTACGTACTTATTAAGCCATACCATTACCACCCCACTATAATTTAGCACTCACT